GTGACACCCCTGCTAAAAAGCAGCAGTCCACTTTGGTCTTGATTCCTCTCAAAATTCTTTATCCAAATAAAAGTTGTTCTAGGAGCTAACTTCAACAGGTAAAATATTATTTGTCCATAACTTTTTCACAAAAAATCCCACTTCAAAATATCTGCACTAATGCTTTAAAATGTTTTTTTGTTGCAGAATATTTTTTTTCAACATCAACTCATTGGACATTGCACATTATAAGGTCATATTATACTCTTTTAAGTGCACGACCCCCTGATCTGGAGGAAAACTAGACAATACTGAAAAGTTTCTACTAAGGCAGCACAGTTACAAACACACTAAGGTACACATTGGCACATACCGTCAAGTATCACTTGTGCACAAAAAACACAGAGCTTCAGAGTCAAAAATGGCTTTGCATAATAATTTAAAATCCAAACAACTGGAGCCTCACGTCTCTGACTGAGACTCGTCAGTAATTCAAGGTGACATCGGTCTGATCCTTTTTAAAGCCAGTCCCTGACACAAGTTTTCTTTGAGATAGCTAGAAGAGTCACAAAGTATCAGACATACATACATACGTACGTACATACATACATACAAACACACAGGAAAGTAAAAAGCCTCTCAGGCTAACAAGATGAAAATACAGGGCATCTATATCAGAGATAGAGAAAATATGAACAACTTTACCTCACAAATAGTCTCTGATTATATGTCATATATACATATATGTATAGACAAAGATATGTACTTTGGACATCTGGAATTAGTATTTACAATTTATGATCTAAAGTGATTGTACGCTGACCAACCATGTTGAGCGAATTGTGCTTTTCTACCATACTCTAATGAAAATGCTACAGAACTTCTGCTTTTTTATTCAGAGTTCACATTCCAACAATTAACCCTGCTTACGATCAGGATGAATTAGTGTTTTTTTTTTTTTTAGTTTTGCAGACTAATATGTGCTTCATCTTGATTATTTTGTAAAATTGATATTGTTTCTTTTTGCAGTTTTGCAGGATATGTAGATTGGACCCTTTCTTAAAATATTGCTTGTGAATGACTTCAGTAGGAACCTTGGCTGCAAAGCTCCATGAGTTGCATTCTCCTCCTCACCTAGTGCAAGTGATGTCTGGTTTACAGCAGATCTACTAAGATTGAAAGAAAAAATAGAATTAATGTCCCACCAACAATTTCTTATATAATGTTTTTAATTGGTGCTCAAAATAAAGCTTGAAAAGTTATCTGAAAATTGTATTCCTGCAGACTTCTGAAAAGCCTGATTTGGCCTTGTGTGTTATATCTGGAGGTAAAAGATGATGAGAATAAACAAGCGTTGCTGGAAATATGGTGGCCACAGGTAACATGTGATGTTGGGCCCTCTGCCCAGAAAACATCCCAACAATAGATTAAGTGATTTAGTTTCCAATCTGCTGCTTTTAGGCACATTTCTTTTTTAGTGTGCAACTAAACAGCTGATCAGTTCAAACATAAATAATGTTTCCAGATTATACAACTGTTTTAACATTCAGGAAAAGCTCTACTGCTCTGGTAATTGCAATTAGGGGCAGGTTTAATAAAAAAATATCAAGAAGTAAATAAATCACAAGATTTATATATATTAGGATTATATTTCATTTCTTATGCATTCTGTCACCAGCATAAAGAGCAGAATAAATCATTTATTTTAATGACCCAATAGGTTATAATCAAATTCAATTTTTATGATTTTCTGAAAATTGTAAAATTTATCATAAACTGGAACTGAAGGACTTTTGTACAGAATCCCACCCTAAGCACATCAGATTGTGTCTCATACAAAATCTGGAGAGCAGGTATAATTATTTGGCAGTTAATTAACTGAAACATTTGAACATTACCAGGGTCACCCAATATAAGAAATACTGGCCAATTTGATGTAATACAATATCAGGTGTGACAAACTCACATTTTATTCATTTCTTTGTCATCACTCTATTCACAATGCACCTTGGCATCTTGGTCTTTTAAACCTGGTGTGAGTGTCTGTCTTACGGGTCAAATGTGTAAAAGCATGGCACTCAGAAAATAATTTATAGCAGTACTTTGTAAAACTAATACTGGGAACAAGGATACTCCAATATTAATATTTATATATTTTGTGCAGGCCTACACATCATCTTTCACMACCCAACTATAATCAGTGGACGACTATCGGTTTGCAGCGTTCACTTACGTAAATGTTTTCCAAAATTTAGTCATTAAAAGGGAGGATAAAAACATCCTTTAGAAATTATTTAAATGGACAAATGCTTAACTGTTTTTATTTACTGCTCTTTTAAGTAAAAATATTTATTTAGGACGTAAATGTTGCCAAACTGGGATGGCGATGAGTGGCGGACACTTCATGCTCTGCAATGCATTTCAAGGAACATTTGTCCCTTCTTGGATCATTGGTTGAAGTAACACAGTTATTTAGAAAATGCCACTGATGACCTACACTTATAGTCCACAGGAAGCAGCCAGTTCAAGATGCTGGTTGGTTAAAAAAAGCCATTTTGATAAAATGACTGTGAGTGGGACGTATAATTTCCTTGCTGACTAAGCAAATCCCAAGAATAATCCTAACCCAAGGCAAGGTCTAGTTGGTAGTTGTACTGTGCTGGAATACATTGCAGTACTTCCTTCACAGGTAATAAAAAATAAATGCAACCATTGGTCTCAAAGTTGCTTCTATGAATTATTTTTGGAAATATTTGTGGCAGCGAAAAGATTTTACATCTTTGAAATGTACCTAAAAATCAGGAATCCTAACAAAGACCCTTGGTGTAAACACCCTCTGAATGATGTTGGCCAGAACCAGTTCCAAAAGATTGTGACAGATGTTATCAAGATGTCTCAATGCGCAAAGGGCAAGTGTTGACCAATGAGGGCAGCAGACATGTCAAGTTGCACCTTTGAAAGAATTGCAACAATAGGTTTTGTTTAAAGTTGGAACACAATGTCAGGCATTAGGCAACTCTATAAAGAACAATCAGCAGAGCTGCCATACAAAGCAGYAACAACAGAGTACTAATACTTTGAATGACTTCTGTGGAAACATGGCAGTTCAGCTTAGTTAAGACTAAGGATTATAGATAAACCTTTATGCTATACATAGAACATTCTGATCAGCTAAATATACAGCTAAGAATCTGGTATGGGCGATAGTCATTTGTACAATTTTAAACACTTATGAACAAGAGTCAAGAGTGAAAAGTATCTGACATATTAAATATTGTAAATTCACTTTTTGTACTTTGCTGTCATTTTATTTTAAAGGAAATACTCTCCTCATCTTCCTTACATATATATTTATTTTCTAAGTATTTAATCCTATTTTTGTGTCTGATAAATATCTTAAACATGTGCTGGTACTGCTTTACAACACTAAATAAGATAAGTTTAGTCCAAAATCACTACTTAAAGTACTATCTCCATGTGTACAGGCAGTTGATTAAGCTGAGGTAAAGGTTAAGTGCTAGTTTTGTTTTAAATTGGAAGTTTCAAATGTTAAATTTACAATAGAACACAACAACAGTTGGCACTTAACAGCATACTCAGCAAATGAATAATCCAAAAATAAAAAGCCTTCCTCATCGACTTATTGCACAAGCATTTCATATCACAAAAAGTACATATAAAGGTACACCAAATACACTAATCTTGCAGCTACTACATGATAAGAAAGGCAGACAGAAGCGCTTTTACAGAGCTTTGAACCTAGTCAGTCCACAAAAAAAGCTGCAGTACATAATATAGGGGTATATCTGTATCTTTTTCTCAGACGAACTCTTAAATGTGAGACTACGAGAAAAGAAGCGAGAAAAGAAAATAGTTACCGGTACATTCATGACAAACATTTCATCCACCAAAGGGGAGAACGTCGGACGAGGATTTGGTGAGAGGTGTCTTATAGATCATGGCCGAGTCGCTCGATTTCCTCGATAAGGAAGTCAATGTCCTCGAAGGTAGCAGCTGGATTGGAGATTACCATGCGAAAGAAGTTGACCTTGTCCCCCTGTGGCTGGTAGCTGACCATGGTTGTGCCGTACTCCATCATCCTGGCTTTTATCACTGGAGCCACCTGACAACATGCAGAACATAGCTGGATTAGAGTCCCAGGAGGAAATCTGAGCAGGTCAATTAGACATCAGGGCAAACTAATAACCAAGGTTTAAAGAAATTTATAGACACGAACCCAAGTGAGTAATCTAAACATAATGTGTGTGTGTTTGTTGTTGGCATGGTTCATATCCTGACATTACAGATACATGAGTAGCAAAAATCAATAAGGAACCAAACAATTCAGCTCTTCTTATATGATGCAGTTCTGCAACATTTTCAACATGCAACATAAAAATATTTATTACAACACAWCACAACACAACAAAGCTAAAGAATGATCCTTTTAAGAAGAATACTTTCTAAAAACTGGCCTCTCAAAAACAGTTTTGTGAGTGKAACACATTGCAGTGTCTGTTAGTATGTGAGTATTTTTTTTCTTTAAAGGGGGACATCCTTTTAAATCCTTTTCACATTTAAATCATTCAGTTGAAGTGATGTTTCTTTAGATTATGTTAACTACTAGAGTAAGAGTCAAAGTTCAAAAAATATTGTTTTATTAAACAAAAACCAGAGTTTTATTTCTTGAAGATCTCCCCGTTGATGTCACTTTCTGTTTCACTTTGTCAGAGCAAAGTTCAAAAGAAAATATGCCAGTTATGGGACAAAATGGGTAAAATCATGTGTATTATACCAAGTTTCTTAAATATAAAGACGTTTTCTTTGACTTTTTTGTATTTTATGTATATGCATGTCACAGGCACTTAAAGGAGACAGCACCAAAACGGGTCTCACTCCCAATGATTATTGTGCACTCCACCCAGTTTGGCCAATTTTGTAGTTTGAAAGCAGCAATACGGTACTTATACTTTTTTTTTTACAAACTGATTTAAAAAATGTCAAAAATGGAAAACTTATCCATCCACCCTTCCATGTTGGAGCCAGAGTCTGACCCATAGTAAAAGGACAATAAAGACGACGGACCTGCAGAACTGCAAAACTGAATGGACTAAAAAAATACAACTCAAACAAAATATAAAGATATTTACACAGCACCAGGAGAGGCTGCGTTCAACTTTTCTGCACTCCTAGAAACTCCAAGTACACCACAAAATGTATTTAAGGGCTAAAAAAGTGGATTTATCATGACATGACTGCTTAAAAATATTTATGATAGACCATATGAACCAAMTGAATGGATTCACTGGATCACCAGATTACRGACTGGAGTGTTTAACAACTCATATAATCTCAATCTATGACATAATACTCCAAGAATTAAAACAAATCTTAATAAAAATATAAAGAACTTTTAAAGCTAAAACCCAGAACCAAAGTTACATCTGTTACAGTCATCATAATCACGCACATAATTTCTTCTAAACCTTTAGCAGGTGTTCCATCACAGCTGGGAAAGCCAAACATTAAATCAGCTTGATTTCCTTCAAATCAGGCTCTTGTCAGACTTCCAGTACTTTTCATCAGAAGACGTCATTAAGGCAAGTGGAAACTCAGAAAAGCTCCACCAGTCATTTGGCTTTACATCATCTTTCATTTCCAAAGCCTGAGGAAAAGCTGGCAGAACAGTCAGTCCAGTCGGTGATGAGCGTTTCGGGCTCAGTTTCAACTTTGAAAACTACAAAAAGAACATCTGCATCTGCAGAATTACAACAAAAAGGACAACGATTTATGACTGGACGCATTAGAAGTGAGGRAAGAGCAGATTGATCTTTATATGGGAGACAAATACACCATCTGTTTGTCTTATCTGTCAATTAGCCATCCCCCACTGCCACTGAATCCTTCCACTGACCCCCATATTAGAAAGAAAAAAAAAACACAGACTGCCATTTAACTATCCCTCTGTAACTCTGTCCCATTTTTTAAAATCACCAGTTTACTGCATCAAGTGCACCACAATTATTTAATCTTGACTCTACACTGTCCTCATTCAGCAGGATATGTGACGGCTGCCTCAGATGTAAGTGGCAGGCTTGTTTGGTGYGCGAAGGGTTTGTTGGGCACATGCTGCAGTCCGGCCTCTTATCTCAGCTCACCCACCTTGTGCAAGCGCTTCTTTTTCTCCTCTTTGTCCTCCATGTAGCGAATCCCTGGGGGGAGGTACCAGAAGCAGACGTTGGTGTGCTGAGGCTGAGGGAACACACAGGACAGAAGAGACACGAGGCATGAAAAGACATGACACAACGAAGAGACAGAAAGAGAGAAACATCTCCACAGATCGTACCGGTTACATGCAGATGCAAATGCAGGATTTCAGTGGAGATATTCCAACAGCGTCATGATAATGTTTAAATCTTCCTGCATCAAACTTGTTTTTCTCATTCAGGATCATCCCTGTGATTGTCGAATAGCTTTGGTTTATCACAAAACCTAATAGTTTCCAAGTCAAAGGAAAAAAAAAAAATAAACCTATATGTATATACAGTAT